TGTGGCTTCATTTTAGCATTTAATTCAATTCCCAATATCATTTGGGCCATGAAATAACCACATAACCACATTACATATGTGAAAACATGAATCATTTTTTACCCCGACCGGAACTCGAACCTAGGACATATGATTACTAAGTCAAGGCGCTACCACTACACCACAGAAGGTTAAAAGGAATCCAACCTTATAGCTTATATCTGCTATACTTAGGAATGAACGCATTCTAACTGAATACCACTATGTTCATATTACAGATTCCCCAACCTCACTCGTGGCTTCATTTTAGCATTTAATTCAATTCCCAATCTCATTCGGACCATGAAATAACCAGATAAGCACATTACATATGTGAAAACATGAATCATTTTTTACCCCAACCGGGACTCGAACCTAGGACTCATGATTACTAAGTCAAGGCGCTACCACTACACCACAGAAGGTTAAAAGAAATCCAACCTTATAGCCTATATCTGCTATACTTAGGAATGAACGCATTCTAACTGAATGCCACTATGTTCATATTACTGATTCCCCAACTTCACTCGTGGCTTCATTTTAGCATTTAATTCAATTCCCAATCTCATTCGGGCAATGAAATAACAAGAGAAGCACATTACATATGTGAAAACATGAATCATTTTTTACCCTGACCGGGACTCAAACCTAGGACTTATGATTACTAAGTCAAGGCGCTACCACTACACCACAGAAGGTTAAAAGGAATCCAACCTTATAGCTTATATCTGCTATACTTAGGAATGAACGTATTCTAACTGAATGCCACTCTGTTCATATTACAGATTCCCCAACCTCACTCGTGGTTTCATTTTAGCATTTAATTCAATTCCCAATATCATTTGGGCCATGAAATAACCAGATAAGCACATTACATATGAGAAAACATGAATCATTTTTTACCTCGACCGGGACTCGAACATGGGACTTATGATTACTAAGTCAAGGTGCTACCACTACACCACAGAAGGTTAAAAGGAATCCAACCTTATAGCTTATATCTGCTATACTTAGGAATGAACGCATTCTACATGAATGCCGCTATGTTCATATTACAGATTCCCCAACCTCACTCGTGGCTTCATTTTAGCATTTAATTCAATTCCCAATCTTATTTGGGCCATGAAATAACCAGAGATGCACATTACATATGTGAAAACATGAATCATTTTTTACCCCAACCCGGACTCGAACCTAGGATTTATGATTACTAGGTCAAGGCGCTACCACTATACCACAGAAGGTTAAAAGGAATCCAACCTTATAGCTTATATCTGCTATACTTAGGAATGAACGCATTCTAACTGAATGCCACTATGTTCATATTACTGATTCCCCAACATCACTTGTGGCTTCATTTTAGCATTTAATTCAATTCCCAATCTCATTCGGTCCATGAAATAACCAGAAGAGCAAATTAAATATGTGAAAACATGAATCATTTTTTACCCCGACCGGGACTCGAACCTAGGACTTATGATTACTAAGTCAAGGTGCTACCACTACACCACAGAAGGTTCAAAGGAATCCAACCTTATAGCTTATATCTGCTATACTTAGGAATGAACGCATTCTATCTGAATGCCCCTATTTCCATATTACAGATTCCCCAACTTCACTCGTGGCTTCATTTTAGCATTTAATTCAATTCCCAATCTCATTCGGGCCATGAAATAACCCGATAAGCACATTACATATGTGAAAACATGAATCATTTTTTTCCTCGACCGGGACTCGAACATAGGACTTATGATTACTAAGTCAAGGCGTTACCACTACACCACAGAAGGTTAAAAGGAATCCAACCTTATAGCTTATATCTGCTATACTTAGGAATGAACGCATTCTAAATGAATGCCGCTATGTTTATATTACAGTTTCCCCAACCTCACTCGTGGCTTCATTTTAGCATTTAATTTAATTCCCAATCTCATTTGGGCCATGAAATAACCAGATAAACACATTGCATATTTGAAAACATGAATCATTTTTTACCCCAACCGGGACTCGAACTTAGGACTTATGATTACTAGGTCAAGGCGCTACCACTACACCACAGAAGGTTAAAAGGAATCCAACCTTATAGCTTATATCTGCTATACTTAGGAATGAATGCATTCAAACTGAATGCCACTATGTTCATATTACAGATTGCCCAGAGTGAGGCTTCATTTTAGCTTTTAATTCAATTCCCAATCTCATTCGGGCCATGAAATAACCAGATAAGCACATTACATATGTGAAAACATGAATCATTTTTTACCCCAACCGGGACTCCAGCATAGGACTTATGATTACTAAGTCAAGGCGCTACCACTACACCACAGAAACTTCAAAGGAATCCAATCTTATAGCTTATATCTGCAATAGTTATAAATGAACGCATTCTAACTGAATGCCACTATTTTCATGTTACAGATTCCCCAACCTAACTCGTGGCTTCATTTTAACATTTAATTCAATTCCCAATTTCAATCGGGCGATTAAATAACCAGATAAGCACATTACATATGTGAAAACATGAATCATTTTTCACCCAGACCGGGACTCGAACCTAGGACTTATGATTATTATGTCAAGGCGCTACCACTGCACCACAGAAGGTTAAAAGGAATCCTACATTATAGCTTATATCTGCTATACTTAGGAATGAACGCATTCTAACTGAATGCCACTATGTTCATATTACAGATTCTCCAACCTCACTCGTGGCTTCATTTTAGAATTTAATTCAATTCCCAATCTCATTCGGGCCATAAAATAACCAGATAAGCATATTACATATGTGAAAACATGAATCATTTTTTTACTCCGTCTGGGACTAGAACCTAGGACTTATGGTTACTAAGTCAAGGCGTTACCACTACACCACAGAAGGGTAAAAGGAATCCAACCTTATAACTTATATCTGCTATACTTAGGAATGAACACATTCTAACTGAATGCCACTATGTTCATATTACAGATTCCCCAACTTCACTCGTGGCTTCATTTTAGCATTTAATTCATTTCCCAATCTCATTTGGGCCATGAAATAACAAGATAAGCACATTACATATGTGAAAACATGAATCATTTTTTACCCTGACTGGGACTCAAACCTAGGACTTATGATTACAAAGTAAAGGTGCTACCATTACACCACAGAAGGTTAAAAGGAATCCAACCTTATAGCTTATATCTGCTATACTTAGGAATGAACGCATTCTAACTGAATACCACTATGTTCATATTACAGATTTCCCAACCTCACTCGTGGCTTCATTTTAGCATTCAATTCAATTCCCAATCTCATTCGGGCCATGAAATAACCAGACAAGCATATTACATATGTTAAAACATGAATAAATTTTTTACCCCGACCGGGACTAGAACATAGGACTTGTGATTACTAAGACAAGGTGCTACCACTACACCACAGAAGGGTAAAAGGAATCCAACCTTATACCTTATGTCTGCTATAATTAGAAATGAACACATTCTAACTGAATGCCACTATGTTCATATTACAGATTCCCCAACCTCACTCGTGGCTTCATTTTAACATTTAATTCAATTCCAAATCTCATTCGGGCCATGAAATCACAAGATAAGCATATTACATATGTGAAAACATGAATCATTTTTTTCCCCGACCGGGACCCGACCCTAGGACTTATGATTACTAAGTCGAGGCGCTACCACTACACCACAGAAGGTTAAAAGGAATCCAACCTTATAGTTTATATCTGCTATACTTAGGAATGAACGCATTCTAAATGAATGCCACTATGTTCATATTACAGATTCCCCAACCTCACTCATGGCTTCGTTTTAGCATTTAATTCAAATGCCAATCTCATACGGGACATGAAATAACCAGATAAGCACAATACATATGTGAAAACATAAATCATATTTTACCCCGACCGGGACTCAAACCTATTACTTATGATTACTAAGTCAAGGCGCTACCACTACACCACAGAAGGTTAAAAGGAATCCAACCTTATAGCTTATATCTGCTATACTTAGGAATGAACGCATTCTAACTGAATGCCACTATGTTCATATTACTGATTCCCCAACTTCACTCGTGGCTTCATTTTAGCATTTAATTCAATTCCCAATCTCATTCGGGCCATGAAATAACCAGATAAGCACATTACATATGTGAAAACATGAATCATATTTTACCCAGACCGGGACTCGAACCTAGGACTTATGATTACTAAGTCAAGGCGTTACCACTACACCACAGAAGGTTAAAAGGAATCCAACCTTATAGCTTATATCTACTATACTTAGGAATGAACGCATTCTAAATGAATGCCGCTATGTTTATATTACAGATTCCCCAACCTCACTTGTGGCTTCATTTTAGCATTTAATTTAATTCCCAATCTCATTTGGGCCATGAAATAACCAGATAAACACATAGCATATTTGAAAACATGAATCATTTTTTACCCCAACCGGGACTCGAACCTAGGACTTATGATTACTAGGTCAAGGCGCTACCACTACACCACAGAAGGTTAAAAGGAATCCAACCTTATAGCTTATATCTGCTATACTTAGAAATGAATGCATTCAAACTGAATGCCACTATGTTCATATTACAGATTGCCCAGAGTGAGGCTTCATTTTAGCATTTAATTCAATTCCCAATCCCATTCGGGCCATGAAATAACCAGATAAGCACATTACATATGTGAAAACATGAATCATTTTTTACCCCAACTGGGACTCGAGCATAGGACTTATGATTTCTAAGTCAAGGCGCTACCACTACACCACAGGAAGTTCAAAGGAATCCAATTTTATAGCTTATATCTGCAATAGTTATAAATGATCGCATTCTAACTGAATGCCACTATTTTCATATTACAGATTCCCCAACCTAACTCGTGGCTTCATTTTAACATTTAATTCAATTCCCAATTTCAATCGGGCGATTAAACAACCAGATAAGCACATTACATATGTGAAAACATGAATCATTTTTCACCCAGACCAGGACTCGAACCTAGGACTTATGATTATTATGTCAAGGTGCTACCACTGCACCACAGAAGGTTAAAAGGAATCCAACCTTATAGCTTATATCTGCTATACTTAGGAATGAACGCATTCTAACTGAATGCCACTATGTTCATATTACAGATTCTCCAACCTCACTCGTGGCTTCATTTTAGCATTTAATTCAATTCCCAATCTCATTATGGCCATAAAACAACCAGATAAGCATATTACATATGTGAAAACATGAATCATTTTTTTACTCCGTCTGGGACTAGAACCTAGGACTTATGGTTACTAAGTCAAGGCGTTACCACTACACCACAGAAGGGTAAAAGGAATCCAACCTTATAGCTTATATCTGCAATACTTAGGAATGAACACATTCTAACTGAATGCCAATATGTTCATATTACAGATTCCCCAACCTCACTCGTGGCTTCATTTTAGCATTTAATTCATTTCCCAATCTCATTTGGGCCATGAAATAACAAGATAAGCACATTACATATGTGAAAACATGAATCATTTTTTACCCTGACTGGGACTCGAACCTAGGACTTATGATTACAAAGTCAAGGTGCTACCATTACACCACAGAAGGTTAAAAGGAATCCAACCTTATAGCTTATATGTGCTATACTTAGGAATGAACGCATTCTAACTGAATACCACTATGTTCATATTACATATTTCCCAACCTCACTCGTGGCTTCATTTTAGCATTTAATTCAATTCCCAATCTCATTCGGGCCATGAAATAACCAGATAAGCATATTACATATGTTAAAACATAAATAATTTTTTTACCCCTGGGACTAGAACCTAGGACTTGTGATTACTAAGTCAAGGTGCTACCACTACACCACAAAGGGTAAAAGGAATCCAACCTTATAGCTTATGTCTGCTATAATTAGAAATGAACGCATTCTAACTGAATGCCACTATGTTCATATTACAGATTCCCCAACCTCACTCGTGGCTTCATTTTAGCATTTAATTCAATTCCAAATCTCATTCGGGCCATGAAATCACAGGATAAGCATATTACATATGTGAAAAAATGAATCATTTTTTACCCCGACCGGGACCCGAACCTAGGACTTATGATTACTAAGTCAAGGCGCTACCACTACACCACAGAAGGTTAAAAGGAATCCAACCTTATAGCTTATATCTGCTATACTTAGGAATGAACGCATTCTAACTGAATGCTACTATGTTCATATTACTGATTCCCCAACTTCACTCATGGCTTCATTTTAGCATTTAATTCAATTCCCGATCTCATTCAGGCCATGAAATAACCAAATAAGCACATTGCATATGTGAAAACAAGAATCATTTTTTACCCAGACCGGGACTCGAACCTAGGACTTATGATTACTAAGTCAAGGCGTTACCACTACACCACAAAAGGTTAAAAGGAATCCAACCATATAGCTTATATCTGCTAAACTTAGGAATAAACGCATTCTAAATGAATGCCGCCATGTTCATATTACAGATTCCCCAAACTCACTTGTGGCTTCATTTTAGCATTTAATTCAAGTCCCAATCTCATTTGGGCCATGAAATAACCAGATAAGCACATTACATATGTGAAAACATGAATCATTTTTTACCCCAACCGGGACTCGAACCTAGGAATTATTATTACTAGGTCAAGGTGCTACCACTACACCACAGAAGATTAAAAGGAATCCAACCTTATAGCTTATATCTGCTATACTTAGGAATGAATGCATTCTAACTGAATGCCACTATTTTCATATTACAAATTCCAAAACCTAACTCGTGGCTTCATTTTAGCATTTAATTCAATTCCCAATCTCAATCGGGCCTTTAAATAACCAAATGAGCACATTACATATGTGAAAACATGAATCATTTTTTACCCAGACTGGGACTCGAACCTAGGACTTATGATTACTATGTCAAGGCGCTACCACTACACCACAGAAGGTTAAAAGGAATCCAATCTTATAGCTTATATCTGCTATACTTAGGAATGAACGCATTCTAACTGAATGCCACTATGTTCATATTACAGATTCCCCAACCTCACTCGTGGCTTCATTTTAGCATTTAATTCAATTCCCAATCTCATTCGGGCCATGAAATAACCATATAAGCATATTACATATGTGAAAACAGGAATCATTTTTTTACACCGACCGGGACTAGAACCTAGGACTTATGATTACTAAGTCAAGGCGCTAGCACTACACCACAGAAGGGTGAAAGGAATCCAACTTTATAGCTTATATCTGCTATTCTTAGGAATGAACGCATTCTAACTGAATGCTACTATGTTCATATTACAGATTCCCCAACCTCACTCGTGGCTTCAATTTAGCATTTAAATCAATTCCCAATCTAATTCGGGCCATGAAATAACCAGATAAGCACATTACATTTGTGAAAACATGAATCATTTTTTACACTGACTGGGTCTCGAACCTATGACTTATGATTACTAAGTCAAGGCGCTACCACTACACCACAGAAGGTTAAAAGGAATCCATCCTTACAGCTTATATCTGCTATACTTAGGAATGAACGCATTCTAACTGAATGCCACTATGTTCATATTACTGATTCCCCAACTTCACTCATGGCTTCATTTTAGCATTTTTTTCAATTCCCGATCTCATTCGGGCCATGAAATAACCAAATAAGCACATTTCATATGTGAAAACATGAATTATTTTTTACCCAGACCGGGACTCGAAGCTAGGACTTATGATTACTAAGTCAAGGCGTTACCACTACACCATAGAAGGTAAAAGGAATCCAACCTTATAGCTTATATCTGCTATACTTAGGAATGAACGCATTCTAAATGAATGACGCTGTGTTCATATTACAGATTCCCCAAAATCACTAGTGGCTTCATTTTAGCATTTAATTCAATTCCCAATCTCATTCGGGCCATGAAATAACCAGATAAGCACAATACATATGTGAAAACATGAATCATATTTTACCCCGACCGGGACTCAAACCTATTACTTATGATTACTAAGTCAAGGCGCTACCACTGCACCACTGAAGGTTAAAAGGAATCCAACCTTATAGCTTATATCTGCAATAGTTAGGAATGAATGCATTCTAACTGAATGCCACTATGTTCATATTGCAGATTCCCCAACCTCACTCGTGGCTTCATTTTAGCATTTAATTCAATTCATATTCTCATTCTGGCCATGAAATAACCAGATAAGCACATGACATATGTGAAAACATGAATCATTTTTTACCCCGACGGGGACTCGAACCTAGGACTTATGATTACTAAGTCAAGGTGCTATCACTACACCACTGAAGGTTAAAAGGAATCCAACCTTAGAGTTTATATCTGCTATACTTAGGAATGAACGCATTCTAACTGAATGCCACTATGTTCATATTACAGATTGCCCAACCTCACGCGTGTCTTCATTTTAGCATTTAATTCAATTCCCAATCTCATTCGGGCAATGAAATAAACAGATAAGCACATTACATATGTGAAAACATGAATCAGTTTTTACCCCGACCAGGACTCGAACCTAGGACTTATGATTATTAAGTCAAGGCGTTAACCACTACACCACAAAACGTAAAAAGAAATCCAACCTTATAGCTTATATCTGCTATACTTAGGAATGAACGCATTCTAACTGAATGCCACTATATTCATATTACAGATTGCCCAACCTCACTCGTGGCTTCATTTATGTTTTCACATATGTAATGTGCTTATCTTTATATTTCAAGGCCCGAATGAGATTGGGAATTGAATTAAATGTTAAAATGAATCCACGAGTGAGGTTGGGGAATCTGTAATATGAACAAAGTGGTATTTATTAGAATGCGTTCATTCCTAAGTATAGCAGATATAGGCTATAAGGTTGGATTCCTTTTAACCTTCTGTGGTGTAGTGGTAGTGCCTTGACTTAGTAATCATAAGTCCTATGTTCGTGTCCCGGTCGGGGTAAAAGAATGCTTCATATTTTCACATATGTAATGTGCTTATTTGGTTATTTCATGGCCCGAATGAGATTTGGAATTGCATTAAATGCTAAAATGAAGCCACAAGTGAGGTTGGGGAATCTGTAATATGAACATAGTGGCATTCAGTTAGAATGCCTTCATTCCTAAGTATAGCTGATATAGCTATAAGGTTGGATTCCTTTTAACCTTCTGTGGTGTAGTGGTAGCACCTTGACTTAGTAATCATAAGTCCTAGGTTCGAGTACCGGTCGTGGTAAAAAAATGATTCATGTTTTCACATATGTAAAGTGCTTATCTGGTTATTTCATGTCCCGACTGAGATTGGGAATTGAATTCAATGCTAAAATGAAGCCGAGAGTGAGGTTGGGCAATCTGTAATATGAACATAGTGGCATTCAGGTAAATGCGTTCATTCCTAAGGATAGCAGATATAAGCTATAAGGTTGGATTCCTTTTAACCTTCTGTGGTGTAGTGGTAACGTCTTGACTTAGTAATCATAAGTCCTTGGTTCGCATCCCGGGCAGCGTAAAAAACAATGATTCATGTTTTCACATATGTAATGTGCTTATCTGGTTATTTCATGGCCAGAATGAGATTGGGAATTGAATTAAATGCTATAATGAAGCCACGAGTGAGGTTGAGGAATCTGTAATATGAACATAGTGGCATTCAGTTAGAATGCGTTCATTCCTAGGTATAGCAGATATAAGCTATAAGGTTGGATTGCTTTTAACCTTCTGTGGTGTAGTGGTAGCACCTTGACTTTGTAATCATAAGTTCTAGGTTCGAGTCCCGGTCGAGGTAAAAATAAAATTATTCATGTGTTCACATATGTATTGGGCTTATCTGGTTATTTCATTGCCCGAATGAGATTGGGAATTGAATTAAATGCTAAAATGAAGCCACGAGTGAGGTTGGGGAATCTTTAATATGAACATAGTGGCATTCAGTTAGAATGCGTTCATTCCTAAGTATAGCAATTATAAGCTATAAGGTTGGATTCCTTTTAACCTTCTGTGGTGTAGTGGTAGCGCCTTGACTTAGTAATCATAAG